TCCAATGCCGTTACCATCATCTCCTCGGCGGCTCTTCCAAGCTGAGGCTGCATCGATCTGCTATTCCTGTGCATCAAGAAGCATACCCTGAACCTCGCTGCTGTGATCCGCCTCCTTCCATTAATCCTCTCTCTCAGTGGTGATGTCTCAGTCACCGCACGGAAGGTGTTTGACAAAATGACCAGGTAAGGTAAGAGTGGATTTCACAGTTCGAGTACTCTGTGTTTTCCTTTCTATCTGTAATGCGAGTCTTAACCTTTCCAAGTCCTCAGTGAGTGGCAGCGCCGAGGCGGCTCCACCATCATGGCGCGAGCAGCTGCAGCTACACATGATGTCTGGTGTGCCGATGCTGCCACAGTAGTGCTGGGGGACGACGCCCCAGCCTGTTACAAGAAATGGAGGCTGCTTTATGAACGAAATGCACATGGGAGAAGAGAGACTGCGGCCGACCAAAACAATGACACTATTGGCAGGTTCGTAACTACTTGCTTGCCTTCACTCTCTTATTATTTCTTCGTGTGTAGATTAATGTAGTTTGTCGATGCATAGTTTGTAGCATGTCCGGCTCCTCCCCACCACCCGTAGAGTGCACCCGCTGCTCTGTCCTGCCTCGACCGTCGGCGCCGCCGACCCCTTCCTATAGCGTTAGCGTTGCTCACGTCCACCTCAAGGCACTGCCTCCATCCATGTCCACCCCATGACCTCTGCCACGGCACCAGCAGCCGGATTTGGAACCACGACAGCTACCCGATCTGTAACTTCAGTGTTAAGCAAGATCGATTTGGTCTTGCACTTTCAGCTACTAGCACTTTAGATACACGTATCTGCTGAAGGAAGATGTTATAGCGTTCAGGCATGATGGTATATGGTATAGTTCCTCACATTTCGACAGCTGGTTTCGTTTCACATTACATCATAAGCAGCAACGTCCAGTAATATATGCAGTAGTGATGATTCTCACCTGTACCTGCAGTATTATTAGCACACAAGACATGAATGTATTGTCTAAGACAAAAACAGAGAATGATTGCTCAACTTTGAAGACAAGATTTCAAGTTGGGAACTGAAACTATATGGTTATTGTTACAGTTTAGCGTGTGCTCATGATCGCTCAATATTGCAGGCAAGGTTTCAGGTTCTGAACTTCCAAACCATGATTTAAGCTCTATTTCCATTCACTGAACTGGTTATATTGGGTGTCTGTGGTGGGGATTTGTTGGTTCTTCACGTTCATGATTCTTGTGCTACCTTCAAATCAATATGGTGCAGAATTTTGTGTTCTGATGCATGCTGCCCAAAAGTTCTTTTGATATTTTGTCAAATAAAAAGTGCTAAACTTGTGACCAATTTTTTTTGCCTCATGAGGTGAGCTCAGATGTCCCTCTCAAGATTTAGATAGGCAACCTAATGCATGAGCTCAGATGTTCCTCTGAAAGCCCAACATTGTGTTGCATGTGTAGTTAACTGATATGCTGATTACTCTAGCTAGTATAGTGTTTTGGTTTAGCAACTCTAGTTGATTCGTGGTCTGATCTACAGCAGATTCTACACATCGATTGACGTTCTTTACCATTTAGCAACTTAACTTAAGCTAGCCGTTTTGGATTGATGGCTGATATGAGTATGTGCTATGAGGAATACTCGTTGATTTGTGAACAATCTGAATCATGGCTGATATAAATTCAAATTCAGTGTGTTATTACTTTGTTGTGACTGTTTGTTGCAGCATGGTTCTGTTATACATAAATGGTTGCTCTGAAACCAAATTAGGAGCATTTCAAAATTATGGCTGCTATGAATTAAAAAGGGCTCCACAAGCTTTCCCTAGTAGTAGTACTCAAAGGCAATGAATATTTACTGCCAAACCGATAATTCTCAAACTGAGCGGAGGGGCTCAATTCTTTACCAGCTGCAAAGAGGAACGCTAGTGAGTATAATTACTACTCCCTCTATCCCAAAATATAAGAACGTTTTTTACATTACACTAGTGTTAAAAACATTCTTATATTTTGGGACAGAGGGAGTAGTACAGTAGTGTCATGAAGTCTCTGGCAGGTGCACGTATACAGTAGTACAAGTATGCCGGAGTAATTATTGTATCTGAATCCGTGTCTCAGCTGTATGACCTACTGCACTGAATAATTACATGAGCCAAAAACAGTACCGTTGGGAGGGATAAGATCCGTCTGCCAGAGACTTGGTGCATCTTCTAGCGCTTTGCCATGATGATGCCGTCCACCCACCCAAAGCGAAAGCACTGCTTTCCTTTCTTCTGTACCTTGTCCCACATCCAACGCATCGACCACTGAGCAAACACATGAGCCAAAGGCATTACGTACTATTCCGAGGCGGGATTCCTATCTTGACTGCTCTTGTTGGTCTTCCTCTGCTCCTCCGCCTCTCATTCTCATCTCCTCCTCTCCTCCATTGCGTCGCGTTGCCTGGAAAAGATCCGCGTCCAACCTCCACTGAGTGCTCGCCCCTGCCAACTCACTGCCGGGAGACCTTGACGGCCGCGGAGGTATGTTTCCTGTCGATTTCTTTCCCGCTGAAGTAGCAATGCATGGATCTAAAAACTGATTACTTCTCCAGCATTTGTGTTGGGTGGCAGTGAAAAACTTGCTAGCAAGAACCATGGAGTTTCCAATCATTCAGAGCTGACCGCTGACCTGGATGTAACTTCTCTCACCTTTCTTGCTGTTCTGCTCTACTCAAATTTTTCACATCCACAGCTTTTTGTTAATCTGCTGGTTTGCTAGATTATAAATTCTTCCTCTTCCAGATCGGGAGCAGTGAGCCAGTGACGCATCTGGACTCTGGTGCGCCGCCGCCGCTTCCGCTTCCGCTTCTGCTTCCTTGTCCCCTCCTATCGACGAGGGCGCCCCCGCTGTGTTCTGCTCTCCGGTGAAGCACCAAAGGTGAGCTTGGTCCAAATCTAGCTAAGTTTGGGCTTGGCGACTAGGTTCTAGAGCTTGGATTGCATTACAGCTCCTTACATTCATTGATTTGCAGTTTTCCAGCTGATTGGGCATGGAGGTCGTCACGGGTGCCATGGGCAGCCTGCTCCCCAAGCTGGGCCAGCTGCTCATGGATGAGTACAACCTGCTCAAGCGCGTCAAGAAAGACGTCCGATTTCTGTCCATGGAGCTTGAGAGCATGCATGCTGCCCTCATCAAGGTTGGTGCCATGCCGCGGGACCAGCTCGACACGCAAGTCAAGCTCTGGGCCGATGAAGTCAGAGAGCTCTCCTACAACATGGAGGATGTCGTCGACAAGTTCCTCGTACGCGTTGAAGGTATTCAGCAGCCTAACGACAACACCGGCAAATTCAAGGAGCTCAAGAACAAGATGGTCAGATTGTTCAAGAAAGGCAAGAATCACCATCGGATAGCTGACGCCGTCAAGGAAATCAAGGAGCAACTCCAGGAGGTGGCTGCTAGGCGTGGCAGGAACAAGCTCGATGGTATTGCTTTTAATCCCACAGAAGCAATTGCTATCGATCCTCGGCTTCGGGCATTGTACACAGAAGCGACAGAGCTGGTGGGCATTTATGGAAAGAGAGATGAAGACCTCTTAAGTTTGCTCTCCATTGAGGGTGACGATGCATCTAACAAGAAACTGAAGAAGATCTCCATTGTTGGATTTGGAGGGTTGGGAAAGACCACTCTTGCTAGAGCAGTATATGACAAGATTAAAGGTGATTTTGATTGTCGGACATTTGTCCCCGTCGGTCAGAACCCTGATGTCAAGAAGGTTTTCAGGGATATCCTTATTGATCTCGGAAAATCCCACTCAGATGTTGTCATGTTGGATGAAAGGCAGCTTATCAACAAGCTTCATGAATTCCTCGAGAACAAGAGGTATGCATCACTTGCAGCAAAAATGATACTACTATGATACTATGTCCGTTTCCTATGCTAGTTGTCCAACTAATGATGTACAAATACATTGTAACCATCACACAGAAGGACGGTTCAGAATAGTTTTTCATTGAGGTCAGTAAACCGCAAAGGTTATAGGTACTGTATGAGTATATATGTTTGATCCCCCCTCCTTTATCTGAAGAAATAGTAAAATACTTCTCATTGCAGTAATTATAGTGGCTTAAATTTATTGCCATTGGTCTAAGAAATTCATCTCAGCGTTGTAGATTTCATCAAAGATATAAATAATGAGCATAATAACAGTTGTACCAAATAATACACCAAAATGGTGCATCGTTCACCAAAGGCTACTCTTTTGCTCTTAATACCCCAGGAAGTTAAATTCGCTCTTCGATATCACGTCATATTTCCCCTTTTCGCCTTGTTTAGAAACTTACTATCAGCAGAATACAATCAAAAGGATAATGTCATTTAAAATTTGAGTCTCCGAGAGGTTCATCAGCGGCCATACAGTATATTGGTGGGCAAATCAGTGCTCCGATCTTTCCAATAGACCTACCTACAATTGTAATATTTGAAATGTTGTACTCCCTCCGATACAAAATAAGTGTCGTGGTTTTAGTTCAAACATTTATTTTGGATCAGATGGAGTATCTATGTCACTGATGCAGCAATTTGCTCTTCGTGTTCTACTCCCTTGAATCTTAAATTTGTATTCATTTTATTCATCATCTGATTGTAATGCACAGTTATTAAGATCAGATTGTCGAGATTGAGACGCCTGATTCTTATTAGTTTGTTTCTGAATATGTGCACTTATAGATGTATAGTTCCACCCATATATTCATATGGCCCTCAGCTTTGTGATGTGTATAGACCTTACACTGATACTCTCAACTAATGTAGGTATCTGGTCATAATTGATGATATATGGGATGAAAAATTGTGGGAAGGCATCAACTTGGCTTTCTCTAACAGGAATAATCTAGGCAGTCGGCTAATCACCACAACCCGCATTGTTAGTGTCTCCAATTCATGTTGCTCGTCGGCTAATGATTCGATTTATCAAATGAAACCTCTTTCTACTGATGATTCCAGAAGGCTCTTCAATAAGAGAATATTTCCCGACAAGAGTGGATGTCCAAATGAATTTGAACAAGTGTCCAAAGATATATTGAAAAAATGTGGTGGAGTACCACTGGCCATCATTACTATTGCTAGTGCTTTGGCTAGTGGCCAGAAGGTGAAACCAAAGCATGAGTGGGATATTATGCTCCAGTCCCTTGGCTCCGGACTAACAAAAGATAACAGTTTGGTTGAGATGCGGAGAATACTATGTTTCAGCTATTATAATCTGCCGTCTCATCTGAAAACTTGTCTACTTTACCTATGTATATATCCAGAAGATAGCACAATTGATAGAGATGGACTGATATGGAAGTGGGTGGCCGAAGGATTTATCCACCATGGAGATCAAGGGACTAGCCTGTTTTTGCTTGGATTAAATTACTTCAACCAGCTCATTAATAGAAGTATGATCCAGCCAATATATGATAGTTTAGGCCAGGTATATGCTTGTCGTGTGCATGATATGGTTCTGGACCTTATCTGCAGCTTGTCACATGAAGCAAAGTTTGTTAATGTATTGCATGGCACTGGGAATAGCATATCTTCACAAAGTAATGTCCGCCGTCTGTCCCTTCAGAATAAAGTGGAAGATCATCAAGCCAAGCCTCTCACAAATATCATGAGTATGTCACGAGTGAGGTCAATTACTATCTTTCCACCTGTTGTTAGTATGATGCCAAGTCTGTCAATGTTTGAAGTTCTGCGTGTACTTGATCTGTCGGATTGTAATCTGGGAGAAAGTAGCAGCCTGCAGCTTAACCTCAAGGGTGTTGGACATTTAATCCACCTAAGGTACCTTGGTCTAGCAGGTACTCAAATTAGTGAACTCTCGACTGAGATAGGAAACCTGCAATTTTTGGAGGTGTTGGATCTTGCAAGGAATCGTACGCTAGATGAATTGCCTTCCACTCTTTTTAAATTGAGAAGATTAATCTACCTAAATGTTTATCTCAGTGAGGTGGTTCCAACTCCTGGTGTGTTGCAGAATCTTACATCCATTGAAGTGTTCAGGGGGCTCTTGGTCTCTCTGAACATCATTGCACAAGAGCTTGGCAACTTGGCAAGGCTGAGGGAGCTTCAGATTCGCTTCAAGGATGGTAGTTTGGATTTGTATGAAGGTTTCGTGAAGTCTCTGTGCAACCTACATCACATCGAAATTCTAATTATTGGTAACAATTCGGAAGAAACATCTTTTGAACTGATGGATCTCTTGGGAGAACGCTGGGTGCCTCCTGTACATCTCCGCAAATTTGTGTCTTCCATGCCCAGCCAACTCTCTGCACTGCGAGGGTGGATAAAGAGAGACCCCTCTCATCTCTCGAACCTCTCTGAGTTAATCCTTATGCGAGTGAAGGAAGTGCAGCAGGAGGACATGGAAATCATTGGGGGTTTGCTGTCCCTTTGCCGGCTCCGCATAAAGATCACCCACCAAACACAATGGCTGCTAGTTATCCCTGCAGATGGGTTCCGCTGTATGGTAGACTTTAAGCTGGATTGTGGATCAGCAGCGCAGATAATGTTTGAATCAGGTGCTTTGCCCAGGGTGGAAGAAGTTTGGTTCAGTCTGGGCGTGCGGGTGGCGAAAGAGGATGGTAACTATGGTTTCGACTTGGGCCTGCAGGGGAACCTGCTCTCCATTCGGCGGCATGTTATTGTTTTTCTGTATCCTGGTGGAGCGAGGGTTGGGGAGGCAAAGGAAGCCAAGGCTGCAGTGAGGCACGCACTTGAAGCCCGTCCCAACCATCCCCCGATTATAATTGATATGGTCCCACTTATAGCAGTAGGTACTCATGTCGCACCAAACTAACTACTTGTGAATTTACGTATGTGTTTTCTGAATGACGGACTGACCTCATTACTTTCTGTATGGATTTTGATCTCTAAATCTCCCAAGGTGCGCATGATGATGATATGTGTGAGGAGAACTGATTTATGACGCAGAGAGATTCACAGTGCATCAGGTGTGCTCTTGGTATGTACGTATTTTGTGATCATGTTTTCCACTACCTTTCTTTCTCCATCTCTAGAGCTCAGCTTGTGGCTACATTTGAGAAAAGTAAAGTTGGCAGAGTAGTCTGATAATTGCTCAATCTCATTTTTGGCAAGTGCTGATGAAAGCTAATGACTTTAGGATGTTTATGCAATCTTGTAGAAGGATAGCTGGTAGTGGGGGAGAGATGTAGATTTTGGGAAGATTTGGTGATAGGGGATGTTGATTTTAGCTGTCAAGTGACAAGTACTCCATGTTATACAATCTGTTTTTATGTAAGCATATCTCTGTAGCTCCCGAGTTCTAGCACTAATTTAACTCTCTAAAATTTAGAAGGTGCCTACTGATGTGAAGGTTTTAGTCTGAGAAATAAGCAAGATTTTTGGATAGGGGTATTTTCTGTTCATTCTATGTGTATAGCTCCCGAAGTTCACAAATGAAACGATCCTGCAGAAAATTTTGGTATGTAAAAGTTCTACTTAATTAAGATCAAATTATTACTGTGGTTAGCATTCAGAAATAGTATCTTAACCAGAGATAATCTGAATCATGGAAGTGGTGTGGTACAGGAAAATTGTTTCCTTTTCCAGTAGAAAAGAGTCAGGGGATCATATATTTTTTAAGTGTTCAGTTGCTCGTTATATTTGGAACACCTGTGGTTTCGATACAGTTACTGACTTCCTGTTAGCATGGAGGGTAGGAATCTGGTTACTGTAGGGGTAGCGGCTGTTATTTGGTCTATTTGAAGAACGAGGAGTGATAATTGGTTGAAAAATATTTTTCCTATGGATCCCAGCTATGTAGGTTGCAAAGTTAAATATTGGATGTTTCTAGCTTACAGAGAAAAGAATTGCACGATGTGCAGGTAGCAGGGGCGCTGGGTTACTGCTGGTGGCATCCGAGAGCTGAAGGATGGCATCTGAGAAATTGTGTGATGAGCTTCTTTTGAATGGCACTCAGCTTGCAGAAAGAGATATTGCTTGGTTTCGTAACGAATAAGTAAGGGTGTTGGGGTGACATGCTGCTCTGCTCTTGTTTTTATAAACTGGACCGGACAAATTTGCTGCTCTGTTTTGCATGTTTGTACATGGGAGGCTAGCCCATGACATGCTGGTGTTTTTTGTTTTTAAGTTGAACCGGACAAACCAGAGGTTGTATTATCAGTTTCGTGATGAATGAAATAGGGGGGCTCACCTGAGCTCCTTAATTCGAACAATTTTGTTACATACAAATGGAAGGTGTACTTCCAACAAACAGCTAGTAGTATTTCCAACTAACAAGCATGTGTACCCCATGGTAGCAAACTATTTTCGTATTTTTAAAAGTGTCTTCGCAAAACCAAATGAAGCCTAAATCCGACAGTGGCGGAAAGGACCTAGAACGAAAAGGGCTATATATGTTTGTACAGAGAGTGGCAGAGCACAAAAACTTCAAATTCTGAACCATATGTACTATTGAGTGAATTATATATGTATGCCACCAAATTGGAAACTATTGTTAAACTGTGAGCTGGCAACAATGCCTTTGTTGTAAACTGTAAATGTGGCCTTTGTTGCGAACCTGTAAAATGCAAAGAAGAATGGCTTTGCACGGTATAAACTGTAAAACAACAAGATTTCGGTGTGGATTATATTTGCTAGAGATCACGGTTGATGAGCTAAGTGAAATTTAGGGGAAGAAAATTGGGAAGATTCAGAGAAATTTACTTATATACATCTTGCAGGGGGTGCAGGCAGATTCAGAGAAGGACCTCACCAGGTCGGCTTGCCGCTGCTAGCTACGTCGCCTCGCGGAGCACTGGGCGCGGCGGCTGCTCCGCTTCTCAATGGTGCGTTACATGCCTTCGTTTTTTTTTCTCTGAGAAACAGTGCTGCGACTTGTGAGTGTGACATGAGCTTCGCTGGGCTGACGTGTGCGTTCTACTTGCTCATTGCCGGTCAGCAGTTGTGGGCTGGGCTCGACGTAAATTTATTTCTTGCTCCAACATTGGGCAGGTCGCGACCCACAGGTTGGCTTTGCTATAGCTCTGCCAATGTATACAGATATCATAAATGTCCATATAGTACTAAGCAATGTTGTATTGTACTCCCTCCGTTCCTAAATACAAGTCTTTGTACAGAGATCACTATGAACCACATACGGATGTATATAGATGCATTTTATAGTGTAGATTCGTTCATTTTGCTCCGTATGTAGTCCATAGTGGAATCTCTACAAAGACATATATTTAGGAACGGAGGGAGTACTACCTAATATGAATATGTTTTTCAATTCAGTGTGTTCCAAATTGCAAATACTGCTATGAATGCAAAACCAAAATATAGAACATAGGAAATACCCCTTTTATATATAAAGGACATGTCCTATTTTTTCTCACATTGTATCAGAACTTACTTAGTTACATCATCTCAACCTGGTATTATCAAATTTGTAATGATTTGATTTCATGACATCACAATTTTAACTGCCACATGTTTATTTCTAAACTAGCATCTATTTACAAGAATAACCTAGGTCACTTTTAGACTAAATAACTGCGGAAGAAGCAATAGGTGTGCGGTAGACGCAACGCGGGAGCCAATAGGGGCATGAAGATTTCACAAGTGATGGATACATTGACTAGCTCAGCTTGTTACCGACATCGCCTAGTATTACACACCCCCCTTTTTTTTAGAAAAAGGCCTCAATCTGTTAATCAAACCAGTAGTACAGTCACAACCAGAATATTAAGAAAATCATCGAGGTCCATAGATCTGATCGTATGCTTCCTTCCGAGCAGGGCCAAGGTACGCTATCGGGTGCTAAACACGCAGTGGAGGGCGCAACTATGTGTCGCTTATGAGCAGTGCTACACGGACGATGGCTTTCTGCACGATTTATGCACGATGGACAAAAGCAACCGTTGGATTGTATTGTCTTACAAATCTGCACTGTCCAAGGAATGCATCGTCCAGGAATCGTGCATGCACAATCGTGTGCAGAGTAGTTTCGGTCGCTTATTGCCAGACCAAACTAGGTCTCACCTCAAGCGCATGTGACAATGGGCTGGCCTACTAACCACATGGTCCCGTCATGCTAATGTCACCTGTGTTTTATTTTCATTTTTACTTTTGTTTATATTTTCAAAAACACTAATACATATATTATGAAAAAATATTTAGTTAATTTTGTTTAGCAAAAATGCAGAATCAAAAACTGTAAAAGAAGAGTCAAAACATATTCACCCAACTTTTAAAAACTGTTAGTACCATTCAAAAAATATATGTGACATTTAAATGGTCACACATTTCAAGAATGCACGTGACATTTTTTAAAAAACTATACAACGTAAAAAAGTATTCATGTAATTCACAAAAATGTTATATGCCAAGATGTTCTTCGAGTCTCCCAATGTGGCACCCTTGGCACCTGCGGTCGAGACCTCTTTCCCCGGTGTGGTGAAGGTGGTCCATGGACCGTTGACCGAGGCGCAGATTATTCAGCAGTTGAGGGAGCTCGCTCCGGGTAACTTTCAGTGGTCATTGCTCAAGCTCAATGATACATCCTACAAAGTAGATTTCCCATCTAAGGAGGATCAGCTGAGAATCCTCAAGTTCAGTATGAGCAGGGTCACGGGCACTAGTTTTGTGTTGCAGTTCGATGAGTGGAAAAAGAAGGAGCCGCAGGGCACGCCGTTAACTCAGATTTGGGTTCGTTTTTCCGGGGCGCCGTCTGATCCCCTGGACAGCTTTTTGGTGACGTGGAGCCTGGGTTCTTTGATTGGCAAGACTGAGCAGGTGGATATGCCGTTCACTCGGGCTAACGGGGTGGCGCAATTACTTGTCAGTGTTGCTAACATTGAGTTCTTGCCGGACGTGGTGCCTTGGACTTATGAAGGTGTTCTGTATCAGTTAGATGTCGAGTATGAGGATCCTAACCTGTTCGATGATTTTGAGGATGATAATCCCATGGACACTTCTGAGGGAGGTGGTGCTCCGGGGAACCAGGATGATTCGGCTAAGGGTGATGATGATAAGGCCAAGGGGCCTTCGGGCCCGTCTGATTCCAGTGACATTGCTCCTGCTCGGTCAACTAGTGCGGTTCCGACGAGCACCTTGCAGCTTGGTTCCTTGGGGCCGTTCTCTACTCCGCCTAGGCTTCGGGCCGACCCAGCTGTCTCTGTGATTCCTGTGGTGCCTTCGAGTGCGTCGAAGGCCGTTGAGTTGGGAGGTGCCGAGGGGCAGGTGGCCCTTCCCTTATCTCCTGCGACGGGAGCTTTGGTTGGAGGTGACGGGCAGGAGGCCCGGTCCTCCGAGTTGCCGTCGCCGTCGGCGCCGACGGCGGGCTCGGCGCTCCTTGCCTTGACGTCGGATGCTTGCGGAGGACTAGGTGTGCAGGAGGCCGCCGTCAGGTCGCGTCCTGCTCCGGACGCCGGCTCGGATGGCGTGGCCGTCTTACCGCCTCACTTCCCGGACCGTCCTACGCTGGTTTCGCCGATCTCGACTTACGGCGGGACTTCTGTGGACAGGCCGCCGGAAGTTGCCGTCGCCTTGTGCTGCTGCGCTGGTGGCATCGGCCCGGGGCGCCGCTGTTGGGGGACGGGCAAGAGGCCTTTCCCCTAGCAGTGCTTCGTGCGAGGAGGTCATCGCCTTTGGTGGAATCCCGAATCCTGTCTCTCAGGGGAGGCGGATCAGCGGGCGGCTGCAGGAGCAGCCAGACGTGGATGACATGCAGCTGAGGTGTGCTATGAGGGCAGCCATGTTGCGTGATGTCGAGATCTCCACTGGTATGTCTGTTAATAAGTCGAATTCCATTTTGCATTTTACCAATGATGAAATTGTTCACAATGCAAATCAAATAGGAGTCTCACTTGGTAATAATGATATGGAGATATCTAGGTCGGTTAATGACATTCTTGATTTGGAAGCTGAACAAACGTTAGATATGATTCATCACATAGCTGCCGT